TGTCATTTTTGACATATGACATAAACATATGTTTTTTAAATGGAAACCATAGTTGGCCATGACTTCACAAAAAGTGGCATTTTTTAAGCTTTTCAGTGATATAAGCTATAATAGTTTTTTTTTTCAAAAAATTACTGAGTTATTATAGCCAATTCTTATCTTTCTTGACTAATTTCACTTAGTTGGCACGGTGTTCTTGTTTTATTATGATTTATAACTTATACTTTACTCCTTACAATTTACATTACACAAACTAAAACTTAAAATCACCACATATACTCTAAATTATTTTAGAAAACGTTCAAAACTTCTCTTGAACCGCCTCTTCGAGTGACTCTTTTAATTCATAAGTTCTTTTGTAAATCTTGATGTTAACTGTACCGCAAAAAAATCTAAAATGGATAGGTCAGGTGATCGAGGAGGTCCATGCAATTGGTAATTGGTCCATCTCTTTCTTATCCCTGAGTCTACATAATTTTATGATATAAATAATTTTTAGCATTTCTTGTGTCATAATGAAAGTCATGTTGGAACCACTCTATTAATGCGCGAGTATCTAAATTTAACTTTTCTAACATGTCTTGAAAACCGTTCTCTAAAAAACGTAAGTAACGTTCACCGGTCCACGTATCCTCGAAACTGTATAGCCAAGAAAAGTAGAAGTCAAGAAAGATAAGATTTGGCTCAGTAATTTACTATCAGATAACTCTCTAACATATTATAGCATATATCGCTGAAAAGCTTAAAAATTGACGCTTTTTATGAAGTCATGGCCAACTATGGTTTCCATTTAAAAAACATATGTTTGTGTCATATGTAAAAAATTACAGGCAAAGTCGGAGAATACAAACTCATTGAGGATGCGATTATCTACAACTTTTATCTGAAAACTTTTTGTCTAAAATAGATTATAATGGAATTAGGGACAATTTTTAAAATAGCCAAAATTTGTTTTATTTGGAAATATCTAGTAAGCCATGAACTTTTTCAAAAATCTGAAAGGCGCATATTTATGACCCTACAAAACTGCAATTCTTTCCCCATTTAACAGACTCTCTATCTCCGGTAGTTTCCGAGATACTCATAGAGAACATCATAGGAAACTCACCCTGTATAAGGCCTGTCTATTACTTTTTTCGTTAGGCTTCGTTAAGGCTTCTACGAGCCCTAACAACTATATGTTGGGACAAGGTCATATTTTGGAATTATTGCCCTGGTTTTTCAAAATGACTGAAAAATATATGTTTAATTTTTTAAATATAAACATAGCCATATATCCTAAACAACTTGACAATATTTTTATGAATTTGTAAATCAATCCATATTTATTGTAGCGGATTTTGTTCATAAAAGGGACACATTTGCTGACAACTAAACGTTGGGACAAGTATTTTTAAATAATTAATATCATCATAGGCGGCTTTGCTATAAACGTCACAAATGTCGCAAACTGTTTACTTCAGCATTGACAGCTTGTAAGTTACTCGATACTTTGAGTAGTGAGATTTACTGTAAGTAATTTTAATTTGTTTAATTTTCAATTTTGTTAATTTAATTCAAAGCAATGATCCGTAGAAAAGCTACAAATCAAAAACTACCCGAAATTATCATTCGTCAATACAGTACGGGAAAAACAATTCGAAAAATTTCTGATGATTTAAGTAATCCAAAAACCACGGTTTTTAATATAATAAAAAAATATGGCGAATCTGCCAATATAGACGTTAGAAGTAAAAGTTCGGGAAGGCCAAAAGTTGTATCTCAGAGAGATTTACGAAATTTAGTTAAAATTTGCAAGTCTGTGAGAAGAAGTACTCTTCGCGAAGTAACAGTTAAATGGAATACTGTAACTGGTTTAAATATATCAAGAGAATGTTGCCGAAAATATATCCGTAAATACGGTCTGGGGTTTTACAAGGTAAACTTTATTTTGTGTGGATAATCAATTATCTGAAGATTATTGATACAAATTCTTATTTAGGCCAAAGAAAAACCGACAGAAAACAACAAACCGAAAAAAAACCAGAAATTCAAAAGAAAAATCGGTACAATTGGGCAAAATCTAAATTATCGTGGACACAAAATGATTGGAATAAGGTCATATTTAGCGATGAATCTAAATTTGATGTTTGCGTTGGAAATCATCGAAAACGAATAATACGAAATAAAGCAGCAGCCTTTCATAAAGATTGCTTACAGAGGGTTGTTAAATTTCCTAAGGGGATTATGGTTTGGGATTGCATGTCAGCAAGAGGTTTGGGCAAATTAAATTTTGAGATGGCACTGTTAACGCGCAAAAATATCAACAAATACTTGAGACCTCACTTTTGCCTAGTGTTCAAGAATTGTTTCCAAACGAAGACTATATTTTCCAACAAGATGGAGCATCGTGCCATTCAGCAAAATCAACTAAAAATTGGTTCGGTAATAATAATATAAAAGTTCTATCCCATCCTGCAAGTAGTCCGGACCTCAATGTCATAGAAACTGTGTGGCATAAAATGATCAATATTTAAGAAACCTCACTAACAAAAAATCGCAAATTTGTGAGAGATGAACTTCGCTTAAGGCCCCCTAACCATACTAAATCACTCATGCAGATTTAACTGAAACTGGCAAGGTATTAGACTAAATTAAATTATACCTCCGGAGCTGGTGTAGTTTCCGTCTGAATATTGATAATATTATGCCCGATAGCGAAATTGGCAGCGTCTTCGTACGTGAGTCGCAGCCCCAAACATTTTTAGGCTCATGTTTATTAAGGCCTTGATTAAAAATTTAACGTCTTCGCTCAAGTTTATGGATACGGATCTGTGTTGGCTGAATATATATTTCGGATCGATCGATGCTTTGGAATAATAATAAGTCGAAAATAAAAAAATGAAAGAAACTTTATGTGACGCGAAGCGAATTGGTATCTTGCTGTTAAAATATTGATTGTTTAACTAAATTTATTTACTAGAAAGTGCTTAGCTTGTCGAAAATTCTTGTCTTTGGGATATATCTCAGTTATATCTCAGCGCTGTAAACAGAAATCCTAGGTTGTCTTTAAATGTTACTTAAAAAGTTTATTAACAAAGATCGTTATTGCTCATTAAAGTTCTTTAATTGTGACAGTGACACACTCACCGATACTTCTAGGGGTCTCATAAACTTTAAATTTGGAATTTTATTTGGCGTTTATCCTATAAAAAATAAAATAAAAAATCCCGAAATTTTATTATTAATTAAGTAAAAAATAACCCTTATTAAAAGTCAAGTATCGAGCTGCTACCGACACTACTACTACTGCCATTACTCTCTGACGAGTATTTGACATGCATCAGAAGATGGTTATGCAAGGCGTTTTCTTTCATGAGCTTTTCTGTGACTGAAAAGCCCGATACGTGATGTTATCTCTCTTCCGCACTCCGGACATTCAAAAATCTCATTACTTTGTTGCCTCTTTACTTTTTGGTTGTCGTTGTCTGAGTTTACAATTATTCTTATAAATAAATGCCTTTTTTGTCAAAAAAATTTACAATTTGTAGACAAAGGTAAAGTAAACAAACAAAGTAAACAAACAAGGTACACAAACAAACAAACAAAAGATAATACAAAACATTATACAAATAATATTGTCAGTCTTATTATTTAAAATAAACATTTATAAATGTTTTACATTGACACATTAACACAAATGACATTTACAATGTCAAAGAATAAAAAAAAATTAAAATAATATTCAAAAATATTTACTTAGTTTATAGTAAATATCAATGACCTCTAAATAAATTTATTTCGGTGTTATTGGAATATATAGAAATAGCAAATATTAGACCAGTGTTTACAAGATCAAATTCGATTATCAAAATATAATTCATTTACGGCGTAGAAAGCCTTGTCTAGTAAATAATTATAATAAGTTCAATGCTTTGCGAAATGAAGAAAATTATGTTATGGATTTGTTTTCAAATGGCAGGTGATTGTGCATTTTTTTCGAGTTGTATAATATTGAACTTTTAACTAACTCTGAGCGTGGGGGAGGTAGATAAAGATCTTGCCCTGCGTACCTGAGTGGATAAGTGTGAGATGGCCTTTCTCTTGAGAAGCTGATACATGCTTACGTATTAGGCAAACGGATTCAAATATAAATAAGGCAGGAAGAGTTAATATTTTTAATTTTTTAAAAAAGTCCTGGCAATGAGTTCTGCTCGGTACGCTGCAAGTTTCGTTTTTGTGCTCAAGTCATGATTGAAGAAAGCCCTGTCTATCAATTTCCAGAATGCTCTTGAGGCGCTGCTAATTCTGTGCTGAATTTTAGAGTCGATATCGGCCTTTTCCGAAATCAAACTACCGAGGTAATGATGTCGAGGTAAGTTTTGATTTATTTGTTTTTAACTGTCTTTAATGGTTCACTGTTTTTTTAGTTTTGATGTTTTATGTCAAATTTTTATTCAGCTGCTGCGCTGTAGCGATCAGATAAAATAGCTTAAATTGATACATTATTACCATTAATTCATTTGATCATATATTTACCTATACTATAATCCATATAATTATTAATCTATACGAGTATATTAGGTTTGAATACCCAATTAATACTGCTTTTATGCCAGTCGCGTCTATTGGAACACGTTAGAGCATGCAAACATTCTAAAGAGATATAATATAATTAAATTCAATTCATCATTCGGTGTATTTACTAAATTGAGATGAAATTGTGTTGGTATAGCTATCAAAGTCTTTAAACGCCCGAATAGCAATTAATTTTCGTAATGTAAACAAAGATAATCAGCCCATTATGTCTGAAAATCCTTCAAAATTAGTAGGTGACATTATAATAATAAGATAAAATACGAACACAAATAAAATCAAAAATATCATTTTTTTTCTAACTTATTCTAAATTATTTTTTATTTTATTTTACGTCTGAACGTTCATAACATTATAATATATGAAACCCACTTTGTTATAATATAGAAAAAATATTTTAAAGTATATTATTAACTTTAACTTACCGAGATAATGTAGGCCCATAATACAACTGACTAGTGACATGGATATTGTTAACCAGTAGTTGTTTGAAGTTGCACTAGCCAAACCTGCAAACAGAAAAAAAATGTAGAATTTCAGTATTCTCAAATATAAAATACAATTGAAAATGTTTGTGCATTTTCTTTTTTCATATTGTCATTTTTCATGACTTTTATTTATGATATTTTTTATTGTAATATTTAGTATACTGAGCCACTCAGAATTTTTTGGTTATATTTAATTATAAGTGATCTCTGAATTGAAGTTATATTTAATTATAAGGGTCTCTTTTTTTATCTAAAATTACAAAACCCTTTTTTTGCTTCACTTATATCAAATTATTCAATAATTATATTTTTTAATAATCTATCTCTAAAATAGAGCATAGCCTATAATAAACATAAAATACCAATTAAAAATACCAATTTAAGTTTTCACAAAAGATTTATTGTTTATTCTTAGGATTATAAGGGATATTTGGAATGGCATTAGTACCATATATAATCTTTCCTTCACAAAATGGCTGTAAACAACTACAATGAACTTTTAAAGTAGGTTTCTCTATTACTCTACATCCATTCAGACCACAAATGTTGTATCTACACAATGAATAAGGCAATGGAGGTATATAACAAGTTGGAAACCCCACAACTTGCTTCATATCTTCACCAAAAAGTGTTGGAATACAATGACAGTCATCATAGTATCGTATAATATTAAAATCACACAATCTTCTATGCACTCTGTTATGATAATGTCTGTTATTTTCAAGTTTTAACCGGCATTTCTTCTTGTTAAATCTCGTGACTTCATCAGAACATAACTTCCAATCTTCTAAACTACTCGTATGGCAGATTCCCAAAAAATGATGTTCAGTTTCTTGAATATCATCGTTCTGAAGCTCAACAAACATGGCAAAATATTTTAGGCCAATTCCAACAAACACGCACACTTGTAGGTCTAAATTATTTACAAAGTCTCTAACATCATACGGGGCATCTTCGAGTTGATTATTCTCTTCAGATTGCACCAAAAAATTCTCGTGAAAAGAAATTGCGTGGAAAAGAGTTGTCAAAAGTGTCAAAGTTTGAAAATGCATTGCGTGTCAGTTTTCATTTTAGGTTATATGAATTTAGGTACGTGGTGTTACCTGAGATTGGCATGTTGTTTTAAAAGAAGACACCATACCGGGTGTTGCATCATCGAGCGGGATATAGAAAATCCCATGTAAATTTTAATGGGGTCAATTATTGGCTTCCCTAATTATTTTAGAGAATAATTCTATTTAGGTTTATTGAAGAGCACTAAAACCCAAATTCAAAAGAATAACTTTAAATATTTTTGATTAGCCCGTTTACGAGTTATCGTCGATTTCTTTTTAATTATTTCTCCTTTCTTATAGCCCTGTATTTACTTAGTAGTATAATTTATCTATTTAGTGCTTTATTATTATTATTATTAAAAACTCATACCTGCATCGAAAATATTAGCCATAAATTACACTACCGAAGAAAAAGTATTGATGATTAAATGGTATTATCAAGGAAACAGTTATCAAAAGGTGTCGGACATGTTTGCTGCTCTGTATCCAAATAGACCGACACCTGGAAAATCTAGAATCGCAAGGAATATCCAGAAATTTGAGACCAAAGGTACCCTAATAAATAACTGCAGATGTGAAGCAAGGCAGGAACAAAGAGAAGGAACAAAGAGAAGATTTTTGGAATCATACGGACTTGGAAGTTTTATTGTGCGTGGAAGAGAACGATGGAAAGATCAGCACAAGGAAACTTGAGGATGAAATAGGAATAGATCACACTACAGCGTTTCGAATTTTGAAACGACATAAATACTATTCCTTCAAATATGAAAAGCACCAAGAGCTACGAGATGGGGACGAAATACGGCGGCAGGCGTTTTGTTTTGATATGATGGAAAGAGCAAACACGGATAGGGAATTTTTAAAAAACATATGTTTCACTGACGAATGCACGTTTACCTTAAATATTGAACCCACAGTTCAAAATTATCGATATTGGAACAAAGAAAACCAACACAGGTTTGTCGAAACAAGGACGCAATATCCACAGAAAGTAAATGTTTATGCAGGGATATTCGGATACAATATTATCGGGCCATTATTTCTTACGCAAAATTTAAATGCAGAATATTATTTGGAACTACTCGAAAATCATATTTTACCTGCTTTACATGATGCCGCTAGAGAAAATCAGGAAGTTTGGTACTAAATTGATGGCTGCCCGGCACATTAAAAAGAAATCGGCGATAACTTGTAAACGGGCTAATTAAAAATATCTAAAGTTATTCTTTTGAATGTGGGTTTTAGTGCTCTTGAATAAACCTAAATAGAATTATTCTCTAAAATAATTAGGGAAGTCAATAATTGACCCCATTAAAATTTACATGGGATTTCCTATGTCCCGTCCGACGCGACGATGCAACACCGGGTATACCGAGTGACCCAATGTTAAAAAAGCTTCAGACCAGGATTTCTTAAACATTTAATGTGTTTGAATAAAAATATGAAAAAAAAAATCAAATTAAACACTTCAAAATTAAAAAATCTCAACTCGTTGCTAATTTCAAACTAGAAAAGTACTTTCATTTAAAAATCATTATAAATACATTTGCGTATTGAAATTTATAATGAAAAAATTGCAACTGCATGCTGAAATTTAAATTAAAGTCAATAACAGTTTACTTTAATCGTTCCTTTAATTAAAATTAATTAATATAACTTTTTAAGAAAGCGACAAAGGGAGAAAAAAAGAAGAGCGTGGAGCCAACATAAAAACTTTTCCCGGCCATCTGCGATATAAGGATATTGTTCTGAAAGTTTGCCTCTCTCAGCTGCAAAGTTATAAAAGTTTTGCACTAATTGCCGGACCAGTTAAGAAAGTGGCCGGCCTTCTTATAAACTATTTTAAAAATTGGTCTTTTACAGTTTCGATATATTTAGGAAATTACCTTTTCAACGTTTACCCGGAGTCGCTCTGGGAAAATATAAGGAGTTACTTAGTCGGAGTTTGTTTCGAGTTAAGAATTAAACTTTTTTCGTGTTCTTAATTGGAACTAACTTAAGGGACGTCAGCGTTTAATTTTTAAGCTATTATATAGGGTTCTGTAATAGTGCGTCGGGCATCTGTAGTAGTGATGTAAACTTTAGTTACTTTTATGGACTCGTAACTACTAGTTACTTTTGGTAATAGGATAGGACTCGTTACTTTGGGCTCGTTACTTTAGTTACTCGTTACTTTGGTACTTAGTATCGTTACTTTATAATCGTTGTTTTGTGTACAGGTTGGAAGACTTGGGCTTGACGTGGAACTTCGTTACTTGTTGTGCGCGGCGATCTTCGTTGCATGCTCGGTTTAACCTATAAGGGGTTTCTACTTTCTTCTAGTGTAAGGGCTTAATAGGATAATTTCAATACTCGGTATTCAAGTACTGAATAATATGTTTTTAATAATATGTATAATATTTTTATAATGATATGTTAAATAAAACTATGTACTATTAATAAAATTAAAAATAAAAGAAACCAAATCAAACAAAGAAAATATGTGTATAATAAATATAAAGTATTTTTCTATATTTTCTCTCTCTCTCTCTCTCTCTCTCTCTCTTTGTATTACATTAATAAATAGGCAAACATTAAAGAGTAAAAATAAAAAAAATGTATATATTTTTGTTAAAATGTAAAAATATTAAAAAAATGTATATTCCTCTGTGGCGGATTCAACTCTTCAAAAAAGTTCTTTGGATTGCAGCAGTGTTTACTAAAAAACTATTTTTATTTTGTAGATTTTCTTACAGTGTATGTGGCGAAATATGTATTCTCTTTTGAGGAAAAAAAATATTTGCTCTGCTTTTTCAGATGTTAACATTTTTTGTGAATATAACGTGAATCCATTTTTAATTAATATCTAAGACATGTTAATCTAAATAACCAATTCTATTCTATAAATAAAAAGCGCCAACAAACGGCAAAGGGACAGACCGCCTCCGGGTCGGCATGAGCCAATCATAATAATTGTAATAAAAATATCACACATTTGCCATCCAAAACACCGGCCGGCGCGGCGTCAAGTCAACACTTTAAACATAAACATATTGATAACAACTAGACCTACGTCGGAGTAAGGAATATTTCAGTATCGAATTTCGAGTCCTCGGTTCGTGCATTTCCAGGGATTACGATTACTGCCGGCGCAAAGGTAACGAATTAGCTTAGTAACGAGTAACGAGTCCTAAATTCAAATAGTAAGCGTTACTTCGAGTCCTCGTAAAGTAACTGTTACTTTGTAACGATTACTTAGAATTTTTACATCACTAATCTGTAGCTCCTAGAATAAAAAACTTGAGAATTTTGTTTAAGTGCAAACCTAAAGTATGTATTACGATGTATTTCAGGAAAATATTTTATCTTCTACAGGGTGGCTCAAAAAAGCGTGAGTGGATTATGATGATTTTTTTTAAATAGAACAGCCTGTAAAATCTCGTGTAAAAAAAGTGTGCGATCTAATAATATGCATAATATTAATCGTAGTTATTATAAATAAACCAACTTCTACAAACTAGATTTAATGATCTACATGTTCGAAAAGGATACCACCTTCCCTATTGCACAAATTTATTTTTTGTTAAATTTTCTTTATAGCTCTTTGAACTTTCTTCTTATACTTTCGAATACATTTTGTACTCTTTATAGCAAGTGTTGAGACGTATTGATTCCACTTTTACAAATGACGTTAAGTAATGTCCCCGATATGTACTCAGCAATCCTTGAAATTTTTAAACCTTTTTTGATGGCATCTTGGTGAACATCCCAAAGCGCAACTTGCCCCAATTTAACCATGTTCGTATCTCTTACAGTTACCGAGATACCAATGTTCGTTCCCCGAATTGTAGCACTCTGTATAGTTTTTTCCATTAAATTAATTAATATAGCCGAAAACGTAATTGAACTTCAATCCTATGAATTAGTTAAATTCATAGGATTGAAGTTAGTCAGAAGCTGTCATTACCAAGGATTATTAAAATCTTA